TGAGCATTTCTTCATGTGTCTATTGGCCATCCTCTTTCCTCTTCAGAGAAGTTTCTCTAAGTCTTTAGCCCACTTATTTATTGGGCAGTTGTGAGAAGTTTATTTACTGAACTGCTGCCCCCACCATGCATGGTGGAGAAGCATGGCTGAAAAGGAAAGGGGGGGAAGGGGGGGCACCCGGGGACCCACCCCTGGGCCAGAACTTATCTAGGCCAGGGACAGGAAGAGGTGTGGCCACACTGGATCCGGATGTGACCTTAGGGTCTGGGACCCTTCTAAGGTCAGATGGGAGGCATGTGACCAGAAGTGGCCCAGGATGTGACCTAGCAGGAGGGGAAGGTGACTGCTTCCAGTCCTGCCAGTTACCTAGGTAACAGATACTGGGTGGAGACTTAGCCAAGACATAAGGAGGTGTCCCTGTGCAGACCTTACACTACCAGCAAGAATCTTGAAGAAATAATGGACCAAGTGAGGTTGAGCATACCTGTAATCCTGGCACTCAGGATGCTGAAGCAGGAGGATCAGTAGTGAGCTACATAGTGTCAAAGAAAACAAAACAAAAATAATACAACAAAGCATAACACCAGAGCAAACAAAACTGTAGGTCTTTCAACAGCAAGACATAATTTCTTTTCCTTATTACCAAACCATTGTCTGAAAACACTATGTTGCGGTGTTTTAGGGTATGGGTTGAGAAGCGTTTTTGCGTAAGTCCAGATAGTAAAAGCTTCTATCTTTGTAGCTGTGTGATCTTTATGTTCTGTATTCAACTGTGCTGATAAGGCATGAAAACACTCACAACAAGTAGATGAATATAGTTTGTATTCTAATAAAATGTTATTAAAAAGTTTTTTTTTTTTTTTTTGTCCATCGAGGGGCTTCAACTCTGGACCTGGGCACTGGCCCTGAGCTCTTCAGCTCAAGACTAGTGTTCTACTACTGAGCCACAGCACCACTTCCAGCTTTTTCTGTGTATGTGGTACTGAGGAATTGAACCCAGGGCTTCATGCATGCTAGGCAAGCACTCTACCACCAAGCCACATTCCCAGCCTTGTAGAGAAAATTTCTTAAAAGGCACTGGAGAAATTCACTGAGCTGAATAAACATGAATGTGTACACAGATTAAAAATGTTGTCATGTGCAGCTACAATAGTACTAAGAGAGCAATTTGTAGCAATAGATGCTTATATTAGAAAATGAAGTTGAAATGATGGAAAATAAAAAAGAAGTTGTTTTCCTTGAGCACATAGCCACATTCCAAGTGCTTACTAGCTATTTGTGGATAGTGACACTGCAGATCTTAGATATTGGGCAGGGAAGATCTAGAACATTCCTTTATTGTAGCACATTCTATTGTATGGGGCCACTGTATGCAAGGGAGATTTGATGAATTAGAGTGGAACAGGACTTTGTCATTAAGTTGCAGTTTTTAAGATTTACATTAATTAATTAATTATTATTTTGTGCTTGTACTGAGCTTGAACTCAGGGCCTGATCACTGTTCTTTAGCTTTTTCCCTCAAGGCTAGTGCTTTATCACTTGAGCCACACCTCCACTTCTAACTTTTTGCTTGTTAATTGGAGATAAGAGTTTCACAATCTTTCCTAGATGGCTGGCTTTGAACTATGATCCTCCGATCTCAGCCTCCTGAGTATCTAGGACTGTAAGCATGAGCCACTGGTATCCATCTTACTTTAATTATTTTGAAAACAGAGCACCCCATCTAATACTTTGGTGCCCTCCTGTAACATCTAACACTTCAGTTTGTACTGAACCTCTTCTCTCCTCCCCATACAACCAGAAGAAACACACTACTTTCAAGATAAATCATTGCACTTTTAGATAGCTATGCTCCTTTCTATTGATTATAATCAAGCTGGAATGCTATCTTTTTTTTTTTTTTTTTCGGTCGTGGGGCTTGAACTCTGGGCCTGGGCGCTGTCCCTCAGCTCTTCAGCTCAAGGCGAGCACTCTACCACTTGAGCTACAGCGCCACTTCCGGTTTTCTGGTGGTTTATTGGAGATAGGAGTCTCACGGTCTCTCCTGCCCGGGCTGGCTTTGAACCGCGATCCTCAGACCTCAGCCTCCTGAGTAGCTAGGATTACAGGCGTGAGCCACCAGCGCCCGGCTTGGAATGCTATCTTTTTGTGTAAAGAGGGCTGACTTAGTGGGAGTGGGAGGAAGGTCCAGTGTCTAATCTCTGGGTTTGAGAGAAGCCCACGAGGGAGGTGATATGGTGTAGAGTCATGATTAGGAGATTTGCCTGTTATATAAGCTCTGGGAATACATTATAGTTTTTTTTTAATTTAAAATTTTTCTAGTCCTAGGGCTTGAACTCAGGGCCTGGATACTATCCCTGAGCATTTTTTGCTCAAGGCTAGCATTATCCTACTTGAGCCACAGCTCCATTTTTGGATTTTTGCTGCTTAACTGGAGATAAGAGCCTTGTGAACTTTTCTGCCTGGGCTGGCTTTGAACCATGACCCTCAGATCTCAGCCTCCTAAGTAGCTAGGATTACAGATGTGAGCCAGCGGCTCCTGACAACACATCATGTCAGAAGCAGCAATGATGTCTTTCTTCCTGTTAGTGCCTGAGTCTGGCTTGCCATTGATAGTCAGTTGATGAGAGAGATTAGCTTTACCTAAACAGGTAGGGCTCAGTGGTTTACATGGAGTTTCTCATGGGTTTTGTTTTCCTTTACTCATGACTCAGGATTGGATTATTCTAACCAATAAAGAAAACAGGCCACTGTTTGTCTTTTGTGCAGAAGGTACTGCTTCCTTATTGAAGCTGACATTCGATTCTTCTGCCAAAGTTAGTTTATGCCATTACATAAATAGTTTCTAAAGCTTGGCCAGGTCTCAGAACCACAGGAGATAAGGCAGGTATAGGACATAATATTGTAACTAGCTAGTGGCTAGCCAATGGACTGCTAAGAAATGAGAAGGCAGTAGTTCCTTTAAGTTGCCAAGGCAACTTCCCCAATGCAACTCTTTCTGGTACAGGGCACTTAGCAGCCTCCAGCGATGGAAACTAGTGGGTACCTGAGACTGTATATATTAAACTGTGTCGATTTAACATTCAGATCAATTGATCATGTGAATACATTAATACAGTTTATATGGGTGATCTATTTATACCACTGAAAAATCATTAATTACAACTATACATGGTCCACATTTAAAACAAATGAATGATTTACTGTAATATGAATAAGTATATATACATAGAAGTTATGTTAATTTTTCATTTTCTTTTGTGCTGTCTCCTGGAGATTGAACTCAGTGCTTCAGCACTTTTGTCTGGCTATTTCTGCTAAAGATCGATGCTCTACCACTTGTACCATAACACCACTTCCAGGTTTTTTTTTTTCTGGTTAATTGGAGATAGTCTCATGGATTTTTCTGTAAGAGTTGGCTTTCAACCTCAATCTTCAGATCTTAGCCTCCTGAATAGATAGGATTATAGATGTGAGCAACAAAGGTCACTTGGGTATTTCTTTTTTTTTTTTTTTTCTGGATCCGGTCATGGGCCTGAACTCTGGGCCTGGGCGCTGTCCCTCAGCTCTTCAGCTCAAGGCTAGCGCTCTACCACTTGAACCACAGCACCACTTCCGGCTTTTTTCTTTTCTTTTCTTTTTTTTTTTTTGCTTATGTGGTGCTGAGGAATTGAACTCAGGGCCTCATGCATGCAAGGCAAGCACTCTACCACTGAGCCACCTTCCCAGCCCTTGGGTATTTCTTATAATCAAGCAATGGCATTCTACAGGATAAGTAGCAATGTTGTTTCTTTTTAAATACATTTTCTTCATGTGATATGTCTTCATGATAGTGTCTTAGATACAATCAAATGTGTTTGTACTTGAACTCAGGGTGAACACAGGGCCTAACACGTGCTTGGCTTTTTTATTTATTTTATTTATTTTTTGTCTTTCACAGCTGGTACTCTACCACTTGAGTCTTGCATTTAGTCCAGCTTTTTGCTGATTAATTGGAGATAAGAGTCTCTTTGATTTACGGCTTGGGCTGGCTTCGCATCTCGATCCTCAGATATCAGTCTCTGCAGTGGCTAGGATTCCAGGTGTCATCATGAGCTGTTAACCTGTTCGCTTCCAGTGTAGGGGAGTAGACAGAAAAACTTCCAGAAGAGAATCCCAGGGGACTTAGGGGAAGGAAGACAGTTCTGGAGGGACTTGTATTGCCCTGGGTTGATAATCTAGGCAGGAAGGACTCCAGAAGAGCAGAGAAACCAGAGGAAGCTGTGACAGAGGAGAGAGGCAGGAGGTGGTAGGCAGTTCTTGATTTTAGAGGGGGCTATCGTGAAAATCCACGGGCTCAGGAGAAAGGCCTTGTTCCTAAAGTTAGTGAGTCTTAAAGACAGAGGTTGTAC